TTTCCCCACTAGTGCTAGACTCTTGCATTTATTTTGGTTATAATTACCCAGAATGCTCTTTTGTTTGCTTCCTGCTTTTGGAGTGACCTCCGCTTTCATGCATTTGAACTGTGCCAGAGTTCACCTGCTGTGCCGAAATCCAGGTTGTTAAGCGGGCCAGAGTTTGTTTTTTGCTCTGCAAAAGAATTTGCGTGTTCACACCACCCCAAAAGAACCAAACTTTCTTGGCAAACAAGCAAGTTTGATTCAAGTGGACCAAACAGGGCTGGCACGAATACCACCTAATCATCTCAAGTTGGAAAAAAGAGGACCAAAGAAAAATGGAAGTCAGTAGTCATTAGGAAAAGCTCAAACAGTGCATCCCCAATCTAACTTAAACCCTTACTGTTTAACAAAGTTTTCACTTTGCACACACTGCAGTTACTGGCAATAACATCTCAGCCAGTTGAGCAGCACATGTTAATTTACTGTTGTTGGATCAGCAAGAATTTGGCTCTGCAAAGAGGTCACACATCCTGATGAGAGCAGCGTTTTTCAAAAGACAGATTAAGTAGGTTTGTTACTTAGATATTGAGATGGTAGAACCAACACAGACTAACTTAAACTGTAGTTTTTGATCAATAATTAGACCATATACTTTACATTGGAAAAAACCATGGACATGATTCAAGACAACACAAAGCAAAGGGAAGAGTGTGCTTTTTGTATATAGCTTTTTCTTTGATACACCAACACAAATGCCATAGTTGTGAAGTGGAAAAAAGTAAGGATGTGGTTGGAACTGGATAAAATGTTAATTTCAGTCTCTTTATGCAAGTTAAAACTTTTTAAGTGCTTATGTGGGCTGCTATGTTTGTGTCGAGCATTCCTTTACAGCACAGATTTCAAAGAGACATCTTGTTGGTTTTCATCCCGACACAGATTCTCTGTTTACTTGAGAAAAGTGCCGCAGTCCTCGGTTACTTTTGTACCGGCTGGAGTTACTGGAGCTCAGTGAGTTTGCTGACCTGCAATTAGTGCCGACCATAAACAACCAGAACCCCAGTGAGCGGTGCCACGGGTGGCTGCCCTCACCACGACAATCTGGAGTTTCCCTTTTGTCCTCGAATGTGTCAGATGTAGAGCCAGCTGCCCACCCCGATGTTTCAACTGCACGCCTACTGAGACGACTGAAAGAAAGTTGTGGAGGCGATCGCGAAGTATGCAGAGAGAAAATGTATAAATACAACTGGGGGGGAAGCAATACGTGGCAACGCCTGTGGCTTTAAAGAGGTTTTAGCATGTCACACTCCCCCTTCTGTCTGCCAGAATCAGTTTTAAATATAGTGCCTGATGTCATGTGAAAGCGATGCAAAACCTTGCCTCTATGATCAAATCCGATGCGATGTCCACTCTGGCTTCAGATGCATTATGACATCGTTATCTCCCCTTTATTGGATGTTTTATGTTCTTTCTTTCACAATGATTGCAGCAATTCAATCACATGCCAGATTGTATTTGCCAGATATTTCACTTGTGATGTAATCTTTGGGAAAATATTCACTTGCTTTTGTTGTCATTGGCTTGGAGTGAAGGTATTATATGTATTTCTTTTCCAGATTATCAGCAAATTATCTGGATGTCAGTTTCCAGTTGTGTTGGGAACAAAAGTTCGGCCTAAATCCAGTGTGGATCAGCTAGCTGCCGATCCTCTGGCCTCCTGTATCATTTAGATGAAATGGTAACGAAGACTGTTTTCACAACTGATAGACTCGGTTCTGTTGGGGACCAAAGTTGCAACATTTCTTCCATTTTCAGCTGGTGTGGCTCACTTTCAAATTGCACTGTGTCAAACAAACCAAGTGTTAAAAACTCTGTACATCCCCTCGCCTGTGGTGGAGGTGCACAAAAAGAACACTGAAGGAAACGACATGAAAACCTCTGAAGAAGACATGAGCACAACTTAAGTTTTCACGACCTGTAAAGAAAAATGGAGTGGTGTCAGATTTTACCAGTTGGAGGATTTCTCTTTTACCCTTGATAAAATAATTATTTTTCCCACTAACATAAAAATAAATAAGACTTGTGCTTTTGTTTTAGTTGTATTTTCCCAGAACGCCCTACACTATAGTTCACTTCCTGCTTTTGGAGCGGTGCCCTATCTGCTTGGCATTCACATATGCATTTGAACCGCGTCAGAGTTCACTTCAATCAAATGGAGATCTAGGTTTTTAGGCGGACCAGAGTTCGCTTTTTTGGTCCTCATTAGAGTTTGATTGCACATTCACACCTCACCAAACAAACTGGACGTTCTAGACAAATAAGCTAGAGTTAGGTTAAAAGGGATTGTGAATGCACCCTTCACACATACCTCAGTGGGACAAACGTATGTGCATTTAAACCAGTTCAATGTTCAAGGCAACTCTGCTTAATGCTCTCACAATAATGAAATTTGAAGATGTAGAAAATTGGCCTAAAGAAATAATGTTGCTCCTTTTGGAGGACAAGTGATTCCATATATTTTCATAGGAAAGAATAGAGGGTTCCTACACTCAAAATATATGGAAATTGATTTGGGCTTTTATCTAGGTTTGGGTTGGCATGGATCAAGGTTTAAAAAAAAAAATATATATATATATATACACACACACACAGAAAACATATTTCTTTTTGATTCCTGTCCCATTAACTAAATGTTGAATCCATCCATCTGGTACTTAAACATTATTGAAGGTTCAGATTAAAATTCTGCTTTCGCTGTTAAAACGTAAGTAGTCAAAAGAAACTTTTGTATTAAGAAATGAGCAATTGAATTTAGAACCTGAGAACAGCAGACAGCAAGGCCTTAAACGCCTTTGAATCAAATTTCTTTACCTTGGCCAGTCTGCTATGATGAGAATCTCTGAAACTTTTCTGTGTTTCCCAGTCAAATCCTGTAATATCACATGTGGTTTCGGGGGTTAGCATAATGCAAAGTCTTTGATCCAGGTTGTGTTGAGCTTGACATGTGTTTTTTATTTTTTTCTTCCTTCTTCTCATGGGGATCTCGGTATTTGCTTCAGTTTAACATCAAATGCCTTGCCACACATACGCAGCGCCCAAAGCTCACTTTGACGGCATATGAAATCGTAACGTCCGATTACGGCACATTGCCAGGTTGGATCCAGACCTGATATTTTTTCAGCTTTATACATAAAAGATATCCGCCGCATCATCCTAACCGCAGTCTGCTAAGGTCCTGCAGGAACAACTGTTTGCATCACGGTAACTGTGTGTCAAACACAGACACATGGAAATGTTTTGACTGCCTGTCTGTTCGAAAAAGAAGAAGAAACTGTGGTGCTGTGCCAATTAGAGCGGGAGGAAGGAAGTGGTCAGCTCTAAAAACCCAAGAGTAAACGAAAACCCAGGGGAGGCTTGACCTGGATCCTTTTTTTTTTTTTTTTTTCTCCATTTCATGCTCAGGGCACTTCAAACCGATTACTACACTTTAACCTAAGAGCATTTTAACTCTATTGTCTTCACACATTGTATCACATTATGTAAGTAATGTCTGGCTTGAGCTTCAGACATGTAAGGATTATTATTACCATCCAGGGATTATTTCATAGAAACACTGACATAAAAAAACCTACAAAATCAAATATTAACTTGATTTCACCTACTTTGACCCACTGTGAGCACAAGAAACCAGTATTTAGGTTGGATTATGTGCTTAAATACGAAATCATGTTATCAAGTTCACCCTCTTAGAGCACTAAATAATAATAAAACCTTTCGGTATAAACAGCCTCCCCTCCTCCAGGCCCTTAACTTCTAATAGTTTAGAACCACAAGCTGAACTCAACACTAACATTTCCTTATATAGCTTGTTTTCTTGCCTGAGCCAGACTGCGGGGTAAGAGGGTGAAACCAGCATGTCATGCCCGCAGGGATGAATTTAAGGGGGGGAGTGGTTCTTGTCTAATTTCTGTTGACTCACTGCTTTTAATGAGAAGTGGGACGTGACGCCCGTTGTTGGAGGAAAGGTCGGGAATTGCTCGTTAGTGTCTGCCGGCGTTATTAATTCACTCCGGCCTCTTTTGTCTTTCGCTGTTGTGATTGTTATCGTGCATCATCGAGGAGGGAGCCACGTTTTTGTTTTTGTTTTGTTCTGAGACACGTTCTCGTGTCGGGTCCTCCAGGAGACGCGCTGACCGCAAGGAGATCACATTAATTATTTTATGTCTAGACTTGTTGTCACACGATGCCAAGAAGATGTGTGATGATTTTGCTGCTTACTATGAGAAGATACCTGTTTATTATTTGCTTATGGTCCATCTTACACTGCGAAAACCTCAGTATTTTTATCACTTCCGACGAGTGAGAGAGCGTCATAGCTGCGATTTATATTTATAACCTTTATCCTCTGCTACTTCCTCTTCTAGAAGTAATCATCAGATGCAAGACTAAAGGTACTGTCAGTATAGGATATGAAAATCTGGACCGATGTTGAAATTTGATAAGCCTGTCACAATAAGCAGTTAGTCAATTAATCGCATAATAAGTTAATTACTATTCTGATGATTAATATTTTTTCAAGAGCAAATTTATTTTCAGTTGCTGGATATTCAAAATGTCTTTCAGTTCCAGTCTAGTGTTTGAGAGAGCGCTAACTCACATTATTATCACTATATTATTTGAAAATGGTATCAAAATGACAATATCATAAATGCCCACGCGTCAGTGGCATTTGAATGGAAAGATCAGGTTTTTAAGTTTCAAATTATCGGGCCGATCAAGCTGGAAATCAGTTCATGTCTACGAATCTGCTAAACTCGAGCTGTAAGCATGAGAGCTTACAACTGTTGTTGTCATCTTTTTTTTCTTTCAAGTTTACGTCGTCAACAAGTTGCTTCAATGTTTTCAGTGGTCATATGGTGTAAAAATGTCTGCTTTTATTTCAAACGAGAAAGTTTTCCTGCCAGTTTTCGTTCCACAAGATAAATCCTTTCGTTTTTAACCATCTTGTTCTTCTGCAGGAAAAAAAAAAAAAACGCGTGCAGACGGAAGATGCACTGAGGAATTTGTCTGAAGCAGCAAGGCGCTGATACGCTCAGCCTCAGAGGAAACGGGAAGCCGGCGCCTGGCAGGTGAGCCGAGTCGCACTTTCTGCTGCCTTTTAGTACCGAGCTGTCATCATTCACTGGGTAAACAATTATCACAGCAGGGCTGCTGCATCCCTTTGTTGTGTAATCTCTTCAGGCATGACAGTTTTACATAAGTGCTTCCTGTTTTTTTTCTCTGCTGTACATCAAAAATAACTGTAATCCCACAGGCTTTTCTTGGACTTTTGTTATAGATTTCTTTTTTTTTTCCCCCCTCTCCTTTAGCGGGTTAGGATGCCATGCTGGGTCATACATATAAATCAGTCTACACAATACGACAAGACGCATAAAGAAGCGCTGTTGTCTTAAATCATAACTTGTGGTGGAACTTTCCCAGACAGACTGTTGTTGATGTGTTAGTCATTACGATACCTTGCACACGCCGTGATACCAGAAACATTCTCACTTGTTTACACAACAGTTGTTTAGTCATGGTTTTCCAGGTAGACTGGAGGGCAGCAGTGTGTGCTTCAGTTTCTGTCCTTGCTGCCAGCTGATGAGTTTGACTTTGGTGTCAGTCTGCAAAGATTAACATCTAATCTTGTGTTTTAAAATACACAAGATTGGATGTTTTGTGATGAAAAATAGCTGAGTGAAATTAACAGAAATGTTCCGCTTCCTTATCTTTTGATAAAACAAGACTGACTTTGATTTATATTAAGATGTGCAGTTTCTATCTGAAAACCAGAAAAAGGGAGAGCTGAATATTTTCCGGTAAACGTTTTTTGTATTTCCATGTGTGTCGTCTGATTTTTTTTTTCTTGCATAGTTACGGGAATCACTGCAGTTTTGGTGAAAATGCTTCAGGAGGAAAGGGTTTCAGCACAATATGTTACTGTTTCTGCATTTTGTTATGTCGGGACACTTTCAGTGTTCCAACATTATGAAACACGCTAGACTGAGATTTATTTGGTATTTAGAAACGGATGGCAGTAAAATCCTTAGTTTCTGCAAAGAAGTTGTTTTTCCTGTGGCTTTTTTATATTAGCAATCATATTAGATGTACAGCTTACTGTACATTGAATGAACTTGGAACAGATGAGTAGTATAGTAATGCTTCTGACATGACCTCTAACAATCATAAAACAGCCAATAGTGGATAAACTATTTTCTGGTGTTTCCACAATAGGCTTTGGAGAGGGGGGGAAGAAATCTATAACAAAAGTCCAAGAAAGTTTTTTTTCCTCATGTTTGCTTTGATAATAGGTTAGATTACTTTCACAAGAAAAAAAAAAATAAATATATATGCGACATGTTTTTTAAAAGTTGATAAAAAATGACTGCTGTCTTCAGATTGAAATTAAAAACGTCCGAGGCATAAATATTGGTGCACCAATCTGTTGGCCATCAAAATCAAAGTTTTGAACTTGCTGAGCTTGTTTTTATGCTGTTTTTATTTTTATTTTTTAAGATATTCTTTGAAAAGTAAACAGTCGTAAACTTAATCCTATTTTTTTTCTATACAGTGGATTCAACAAACTACCGGCTTGTCAGTGAAATTGAACTATGTTTACTGTCAGTAGGGTGTTTTAAAAAGGAAGACAGGATGTACAGAGATGTGAGAAGATATTTAAAAAGAAAGTTTGTTTTTGAGACATGTTTGTGGTCCACTCTAGCTGCAAGAGAGTGAGAGAGAGTGAGACTTCAGGAGGTAAACGGGGTACTGAAAGTATTTCAACAAAAGTTTCTCTTTTTTTATCCATATAAGATTTTAACTTCTGTCATGAAACATGCCGAAGTGAGGTGGTTTTTCAAATGCATTGAAATGAGTGTATTCCACAAAACTGGTGTTGAAACACTTTTTTCTCATCACACGAGTCATGATCAACAACCCTGTGTCTTTTCAGCAGACACTAGCTTTTTAAAACGTATCATTGTACTTTCATTCTACAGTGCATAAACGGTGATAATCTTCTACTCCATTCATTTTGTGTTGGGTTAAAACCGCTGCCTTTATCAAGAAACCTGCAGTGTTTTTTTTTTCTTTTTTTTTGTCATGATCAAAGGTTAAATAAAGTTCAAATGAATAGTTACAAACAAAATTGCCTTATCTTAAGTCACAACTGGCAGGTCAGAGTTTAAAGTAAACCAGTGAAGCTTGGTCAGTTCATCTCCAGGCTAAATGTCCTCTACCAATGTTTAAATGTTGCGTTTAGATGGCCGGCGCAATCCGAGGCCAAGTGCTCCTCAGTCCCAGTGGAGGTTTAGAGCACTGTGAAAGTCAATGTCTATTGACTGACGGTAAACAGCGTGTGTAGATCCATCACTTCTTTGACTCATGGATGCTCGTAAAGTTCCTCTGTTTATCGATCGCTGCGTTTCGCCTTTGTAATTGTCAGTGACGAATGGACAGGAATGTGTCCTGTGCTTTTTACCTCTCGAGTTACCACTCCGGTTCTGCTCCTGAAAGTGCCCTTGCCTTCTCGTTTGAGGAGTAAATCATGTACAGTTTTCCCATTAGGACCCGCTTTATGGGACTTAATTGAATTGTAGCATGGAAAGTGTTTACCTTGCAGCAAAAAGTGTGAAAGAGGAGAAAAAGGCTCGACCCATTATGTCCTTGAAGCCTGTTGTGTTAAAATCAGCAGAGATCAATAAATTAGTAGGCGTCTAGAGCACGTAGTCATATCATACTCCTGTGTTTCACCCCCCCATCCAACTCAAAAACCCCTTGTGTTTGTCCTGCTAAGTGGAGTGTGCGAGCTAGCAGCTGTTGGAGTTCCCATCAGAGAGCAGAAATGGATTTCACAAAGAGTCACAGATGTCTGAGACATCAATATAAAATGATCTGTGGGCCAGCTCTCTGCTCCTTTTCCTGCAACTACTGTTTCAGGGAAGTGGATGTGTGAATGCTGCGCTGTACGCTACGCACACGCTTCCCAACCACGACAGTAATTGGATAATTACAGGTGGGATGATGATTTCTACAAATGATGCACAAAAATGTAAACAAAGCAATGACCACTGGATGACTTCCAGAAAACTGTTGATTTAGCTTCTCCTTCTTCTTGAACTTCTCCTCTTGTGTTACCCCATCCTCCTGACCTTGGATTATTTTCTTAAACTTTTTAGATGCACTTTGGTCCTTGGTGGATAAGAGCGTTTGACGAGCAGTGGGTGGAAGTTTCCCATAAATTCCACTAAGTTGTGTCTCCATGTTGCATGCTTTAGTTACCCTGAGTCCATTTCACTTTAGTTATGGTAGGAATGTGCCATTGCATGAGAAAAGGTCATCATTCCTGTCATGGCTCTCTCAAGTCCTTAGTCAAGGCTCCCAACATAAGGACATTCTTTCCCACACACGCAACCATGCTCCGTTTCATCAATAAAATAACTGCTAATGTTTATTATGTTTGGAGCTTGGCTGTTCTTTACTCAGAGCCTATAGATGATGTAAAAATAAACACATTTTCCTGAAAAGACTTGCTCAGTTCATTCTAGTTTATAAATAAACCCACAGTTGTTCCAGTTTATTACTGGCTTCACGAATTAATAACTTCCATACAGTAACCACTGACATGTTATCTACACCCTCATCATTTCATGTCTGCCTTGTGTTTTAGTAACAAAGGAAGATACCTATTTTAGCTAAATACTGCTAACGCTTCATTTAACCAAGCTACATAATGCTAAAGCAGGTCTTTAGCTAAATAATGCTGAAACATTATTTAGCTAAAGACCTGCTTCAGCTAAAGCAGGCTCAATTCATTCTAATTTATAAATAAACCCACAGTTGTTCCAGTTTATTACTGGTTTCATTAATTAATAACTTCCATATAGTAACCACTGAAATGTTACCTACATTATTTAGCACAGCTAAATAATGCTAAAAACCTGTTTCAGCTAAAGATTTGCAGAAGCAAAGCCTTTAGCTTTAGCTAAAGCAGGTGTCATCTGACAGTTTTGATTTGTGGAAAGTATCGATTTGAGAAAATTTGTCACAACTTTAATGTACTCCATATTACTGCGCTGCTACAAAACTACACGACTGCTGCTAAACTTTCAAAGAAATAGCCTTACGATGCTAATCTCACACAACACTATGCAGACACTTTGTCTGCACTTATGAAGAGTCACGTCACAAACTAATTAATTCAGTTAATAATTCTCTTTAAAACTTTGAGGCATTCAAAGAAAAGTAAAACTTTCCTCTCCAGAAAGTAATTTGATTCTTAGTTATTGAGACAAGATGGTGACGTCATGGCAGAAAGCAGTGCTTCCTGACTCAGTGGAAGATTTTGACTCTTCATCCATAATACATGAAATATTCAAGACAAGGGGCACATCCAATATTTCCTAAACTGCCACATCACTTTATTTGTGTCTAAAGCTAATGGCTACCATTAGAATTAAGGATGGTGGTGAAGGACTAATGATCACAGTAATGTGAGGACCAGAAAGAGTGCAAGACTGAGAACATCAGTGTTATGACTGGATTAATGTATAAGACATCAGCTAAAACTCAGTTTCAAGATCAGTTGTCATTGATTCTCATGGACTTATGAACACAATCTTTTTTTCATTTTTCTTTTACAGTGTTGTGCGTTTCTGTCCTGTTGGAAAATATCGAACAGTGTATCAATCAACACCTCAAAGACTTGGGATTGGATCAAATCAGGGAAAATACAGAAAGTGTTTTTATAGATAGTATTCCTTACCTCACAATGCTGTCATGTAATCTGGTTTTCCAATTTATTATCCACCAGTTTGCCCACTGACTTTAAACTCGATCTCCACCAAGTCCTTTGGTCTTCCCACCAATTGTTTTGTTGTTAATTCAGCTTCGTCTTGGCGGTCTCTTTAACAAGACTGATGTTTCAGCTGTTCAGCCTCTGGCCTGGCCTGTGCGGCTCAGGCTTTGAAAATGGAGAGACAATTTGGACTTAAAGCAAGACGGAGCTTAAAGTAGAGATGAAAGAAGTTGTGGAAGTACCAGTAATATTGATGGAAACAGCTGGCAAATGAGCCGGGCCGACCACTACCAG